GAGCACAACTCTGCCCCAATCAGGGAGGTGAGGCTGCTTCTCCCTGATGCACAACCCACTGGCCAAGGCATGGTGCAGAACAGCGAGCAGCAGTGTAATGGCTCACTCCAGTAGGGGCTCTTTCCCAGCCCTGGCACTTAGCACTTCACCTACTGTCTGGATAGCAGCTTGATGAGCCTCTGCACACCCCTGTGCTAACTTATTACTACTGCTTATTGTTTTATAGGGCCCCAAGGAGTGCTGCACGTATCACTGAGCTGTAGCTGGCCCCAAGATGACTTTGGCCTCATAGTGCCTAAAACATAGTGTGCAAATGTGAGCTATGGGGGTTTATCTACTCAGTGCTGATGGTGAGATCCTGTGGGTGATGAAGCACAAAACAGCCCTCAGTCTGTCCTCTCTCTGACTCACATGTCAGAGGATCAGAGAATACCCCAAACTGGAAGGGACCCATGATGATCATCAAGTCCAGCCTCTGGCTTTGCACAGGCCTACCCAAAATTCAAATAATATTTCTGGGAGCATGTGTTCAGAGGATGAGCAGCCCCTCAGCACTCATCATGCTGTCTGCATCCAGAGCCTCGGCCATCTCTGCACCCTTCAGTCATGGTGCTTTCTCCATTGCTCTGCACCCCTCCTGCATTGTGCACCATTGCTCTTGCGCTCACTGTGCATCCGTGTGTGTTCTGCAGCACCCTGAGATCTGGCAGAGCACAGCCTCAGCTGGGATGAGGACATGAGCACCACGAAGAAGGCATGAAGCTGCTGCCTGCCCTGCTCCACATGCTGCAAACCTACCTGCGCATGTACTGATAAAGCTGACACTGTGCCATGTCTGCACACTTGCTTTTGAAATCATCCCCACGCCCAGACCTTCCTCACTGCAGGATGTCTCTGTATCTCACTACAAACCATCTTAGATGGTTTTAAGCGGAGATATTTCTAAAATATTTGATGTCTGTGGCGTATCTGAGAAGCATTTGAAATATACTAAATAGCTTGGAAGTATCTTCTGTCTCGGAGGCTGAGGGTTTGTTACTCAACCTGCTCTCTGTAGGACACATTTCAAAGGACTTTTGAATGTTTGATTTCATCACATCTGAAAGCTCTCGTGGGTGACTGCTGGAACAGAGCCAGGCTGAGGGCTCTTATGTGTTCGGTGCTCTGCTGGCTGAAATCATGGCTCGTTTCTGTCTTGGCACAAGGAAAACTAATTTCCTGGCCCCAGCCCAGACTTGCTGGGACCTGGCATGGTTGCCCTGGTGTGCTCCAAAGGGCTGGGCTGGCATGGTGCAGCATGGTGGTTCCATAGGGATGCTCATGGGGTGGTGCCAAGGCTGCTCTGCTGCATCCCAGCGCTGCTGGTGGTGATGTGGGGCATGGAGCTGTGAGAGCAAAGCCCTGCGAGGGCAGTGAGGTCCGTGCATGCTGTGAGCTGCTCATCCTGGGGACAGCTTCCACATCGAGTGCCATGAGTGGGTAACACCAGGTTGCCCCTCCAAGGGGACGAGGGGAAGCAGTGCCCCATTGTTGGCAGCTGCACCAATGGGTTCCCTTTCCTTCTGGGGGAGCAGGGATAGAACCCAGCGCCTGGTCGGTGGGTGACAGTCTGAGCTCAGCCTCTCGGCTGCTGGGTATGGTGCATGCGCTTTAGGGGTGAAGGAGGGCTCAGAGAGGTGGGCTAAGGATGGAAACAGAGTGACTGTGCATAGGAGAGACAGCAAACGAAGTAGCCAGACAGAGGAAGGAGGTCTGCAAAATAAGACTTGACTTGGCAACAAAAGAAAGTGGAAAGACAAAAACAGTCTCCCAGCAAAACATTGGAATTTAACTTTCACAGCTGCAAATGGAAAACAATCACTTCCCACACGAAAATAACTGATGGGCTGCATTGACGAAGAGATGTCTGAGGAATTTCAATTAAAAGCCAGTGACGCTGACAAAGGCAATGAGATTGAAGTGTTCAAAAGTAAGTGAGCAATGGGGAGGGAGGAACAGTAAGTGGCAGGCGGGGAACAATGAGTGCTCAGCTCTGCGTGGGCTGGGCCCCTTGCATGGAGGCAGAGGGAAAGCGCTGAGCTCTCAGTGTTTTGCCCAGGTTCTCTGTCACTACTGCACCATGGCAGCACCATGGGCAATGTGTTGGCCTTGTCACCATGGTGTTACCTTTGCCTGGCTGCTCTCCTAGGCCTCCCATCCGGGTGATGTTTGTCCTCTCTTTCTGTGACTTCTCTTTGGAGTCAGAGCTATGTTTGCTCTTCATTTGTAGGAGCAGAGAAAGCAGGGTGAGATACCAGGCCTTGGAGCAGCTGGGAGAATTAAAACTTGGCTGGAGGTACTGCCATAGGTGATGGCAGAGACAAAGCTGAGCCGCAAGCAGAGCATGGCAGGAGCCTGCATCAGCTTCTCTGCAGCTTCCAAGCCAGCCAGTGAAGAAGGCAGCAGACATGATGGAAGAGCACGTCCTTGTAAACTCTCTGCCACAAGGACAGCTCCACTCCACCTGAGCCAGCGATGGAACCAGAGACCAACAGGCTCAGGCTGCTGGGAGGGCACTGCCAGCACCCCCAGAAAGGAGACCATGACGGTCTCAACCACAGGTTTGGAATTTGCCAGCAAAGGCTCTGCCTGGGTCTAGCAGGAGGCTGAGAGCTGTGGTCCCTGTGTGTGCTGCAGCACGGCAGAGCTTTCGGGCTGATGGTCCTAATGGGGTTGTGCTGATCGGCTGCCTTGAGAAACAAATCCACTTACATGGAGATGCATGGGAGAAACAACCGACCGCTGCCGGCCCCACTCAGAGCCTGCCAGATCCTGCAGCCCTGCTTCCCCGAGGCACGCCGCATCTCCAGGCGTGTGTTGTTCCATTAAGCTATTTTTAGCAAACACATTCCCCTTATTTCAGCAGCAGTTATCTGATTAGTTCCTGTAACTATATGAGGAGCAACATTTCCAGGCATGACTGAGAGCTGTGAGCAGGCTGTGCCTCTTCACATGCATTTTCTCAAAGGGAAAAACTTGCTGGGGCTGCTCCTCCTGCTGTGCTCCCATGGCTCCGTGGCTCCAAGCGCCAGCATTGCATGCAGCCAAGCTCTGCAGCACGCGACCTTTGGCAGAGCAGCAGCCAGCAGGCAATGTCCCCAATGCCACCTGCAATAAGGGACCATCCCTGTGCCACGTTGCTGAGATGCAGCGACGATAAGCAGCTGGCTTTGTTTGCTCTGAGCATGAGACTCTTAAAGACTTCCATCATCATCAGCTGTAATGGGGATGGGGGAAAAACAAAGTCTCTTTGCTAACGTAGTGCTGGTCCCAGGGAGTCTGCGCACATTTCCAGCCGCTTTGTTGCTGCATGGGGACAAGCTAAAAATCCCATGGAGCCATTGCTAGCTCCACAGCATTGTACTTTGCTCCCTCCACCTCTATTGACCACAACTGTACTGGAAAATCAGATTATAGAGCAAAGCCTTGGCACCAAGTCTGCTCTGCCAAGTCAGGTCCTCCATCTCCTGGATGGATCATGGCAGGAAGAGGGTGAGAAGCCTCTGCTGTGACAGCTTTATCTCCAGCCTCAGCAGAAGGGAGCCCAGAGCTCTGCAGCCATGGCTGTGTGTGTGGCTCAGGGTGGCAGAAGGGGATCTCAGGGGGAACTGAGCCCAACTCATCTCCCCCATCCATGACAGAAGCTCTCAGAGCTCTGCTCTCTGCCTCCTCCCTCCGCAGTGGGAATGTTTTAAGAGAGCAGAACAAGAATTCACTGCAGCTTTAAATGCATTCAAAGCAGCTGTTCTGCTGCACGCAGAGAAGCACTGCCCCGGGGGCATTGCAGGTCCGGGAGGGGAGGAGAGGATTTGGGCTCACTGAGGTGCCCACTTATGCAGCTCAGCCCTTGGGGGCACCGAAGGTCCCAAAGAGCAGCGCTCGCTCTGACTGTAGCAGCAGTACTGTGTCACCATGGTGCGCTCTGGGCTCTGCCCATGGCTCAGGTTGGTGTGAGCTCCTTTGTATTGGCCATCAGCTCCTCCTGGGCTTGTGCAAGCCCTGTTACTTATTTATGCCTTCATTGTGTGCTTGCTTGGCTTCTCACCAGGGAGATTTATTTTCCTCTCCTGCTCCGATAGGACTGCTCGAGCCTCCTTCTGCAGGAAGGATAAGGCTGTGCCGCTGGAACTCTGTCACACAGCTAAAGACATTTATTTCAGTTGAGGGAGTCGCAAGTGCCTTGGGTGACACTTCATTTGCAGCTAGAAAGATGCAAAGTGTTCCTCACTGAAATCAGTTGCTGAGACACCGAGGATAGCACAAGTTGCCAGTAGAGCAGACAGCACCCGCTGCCCCCCAGAGTATGCTCTGCCACCCCAATTTCTATGCCTGCTCTTCTCTTCCCTGTGCTTGTCTCTTGCCCATGGCTCTGCCAGCTGTGGAGCAGTGCAGGAGCTCCAGCTGCCGGAATATGGACCCGGACCCAGAGAGCAGCCGCCCCCATGCACTGCTGTGAGACTGGGGTATGCAGCAGATCAGGGGCAGCAGGCAGAGCGTGGAACACAGCACTGCACCCACATGAGTGAACGCGCCCGTGCTGCACCCCTAGAGCACATGTGAGTGCGCAGTGTGCTGCTCCTTTTGTGGGTGCGGATGCACGGTGTGCAAGCATCCTTCGTGGGTGCAAACGCACGGTGCATTGCTCTCTTCGTGCCTGCAAACGCACGGTGCTGCTCCCTCCCTGGGGGCAAACGAAGGCCGCTGCTCTCTTCGTAGGTGCAGACTCACGGTGCGCTGCTCCCTTAGTGGGTGCCCTCGGGCCGCCCCTTCCCGCACTTGTGAGAGCCCGCAGCTCCGCTCCCCTCCCGCACGAGCACCGCTCGGAGCACAGCGCGCGGCGGAGCGCGGCCGGGGAGGAGCGAACGGGCGCGGAGCGGAGCGTGCCTGGCCCTCGCCGCCGCCTCCGCGGCGCTGCCATTGGAAGCGGGGCCGGGCCCGGGGAGGCGGCGGCGGCGGCGGTACGGCCCCGCGCGCTGAGCGCGGCCGCGCTGCCCCGGCATGTCGCGGAAGAAAGCGGCACGGAGCAAAGGCGGCGGCTCCGCGCCCTCCGCCGCGCTGCCTCCCCCCGCCGCCACCGCCCCGCGGAGCCCCGCGCCCGCTCCGGAGCTGCCCCGCAACGGCGGCGCTGCGCCCGGGCGGCCCTCGCTGAGCAGCAGCGGAGAGTTCTACGACCTCACCTTCAAGGTGCGAGGGGCTGTGGGAAAGGGACTGCCCGGGGAGGGGCGGGCCGGGCCGGGCCGGAGCAAAGCGTGGGGTTCCCGGGGTCATGGGGGGGTGGACCGTGGGGCCGTGCCGTGCGGTGCCATTACGAACCGAACCGTGCCGTGCCGTGCAGTTCGGAGCCGAGCCGTTCCATTCCATGCCGTGCTGAGTGCAGCAGCCCTCCCCGCGGCCACCGGCAAAGTTCCTCGGAGATGGGATGGCCGTAGGGCACCTACCGTCGTGCCCTCACCCCCCCACACTCCGTGCTTTGGCCGCCCGCTAACCGCTGCCATCCCCACTCCACATCTGCAGGGCTCAGCCCCACCACCCGACCCAAGGCGGTGTGTCCGGTGGCTCTGAAGGATGCTCCGTGGAAAGCCTTCCACCAAAGGGCTCCTGCTCAACTTTTGCAAGTGGTGACAGATGGCTTTCTGCTCAGACTGGTTACCATAACCTTCTGCTCCCTCTTTACCAAGATAAAGAATTGGGTTATAAACCAGGATGACAGTTTCTTTGCGTCGCATTGGATCTGCTCTGCCTGCTGTTGAACTATCTCCAGCTTGTGCTTTCCTGTAAGGGCTCAGCTGGCTCCGTCTCGCTGCTTTGGGTTCTGGCTTGTGAGCCAGTCTCATTTCCAACACAGCTCTCTGTAACCCAGCATGGAGCTCTAAGCTACAGGGAAGGTGGTGTTTGCTCTGGCGAGGTCCGAGTGTTGGTGCGCGGTGCCAGGAGCGCAGCACCTGCGGTGCAGCCATGGTATTGTAAGGATTTGAGATGTAGGTTCAATTCTTTGGGAGGCAGTGGTTGCTGGTACAGCTGCAGCAGCAGTGCAACAGCTGTGCTGATATGGAGCTGACCTCCTATGGATGCTGCCCTGAGCTCAAATAAACCCAACCATGCCGGGTAGCAAAGGGCTCTGCTCTGTGTCCGGGTGTTCCTCACTGATGGATGCTATGCTGTGTTTGGTGCCAGCCTAACCTAATGGACTTCCCCTGCTCCCTCTGCTGAGCTGCCCCACAGACAGCAGTAGCCCCCCAGGGCAGGCATGGGTCTAGTGCCTGCTGGCAGAGCTGCTGGGGGGAGCCCAGCCTCAGTGCTGCTGGGAATGGTGGGCTCAGGGGTGGGCACACTGGTGTTGGAAAGTTTAAAAAAAAATCAGCTCTGCTGTTTTGTACTAAAATTTTGCACACACACACACAAGACTTTTTTCTCCCCATCCCCTGGATCCACACACGTACATATAGGTTTATCTGAGCTCACTGTGTCATGGCTCTCAGTAGGGCTGCATGGGGCGGTTGCAGCAAGCAGCTGCTGTGGGGCACCCCAGGAAAAGAGCCGGAATGAGCCCCAGAAGAGAGGCATCCGTGTCTGGGGCTGTCTCCATCCAGGTGGAGTGGCAGAGCCCATGGCACTGGTTGGTGCTGCTGGCTCCTGTGTGGGTTTGCTTTGACCCAGGGCAGTGCCTGTGTTGGAATCGTTGATATTTGGTCACAGGCTGACAATTTTTGCAGGGACAATGGCAGTCGGGCTCATGGAGGCAGCACCGTGCCCTGGGTGTGTGGAGCAGTGCAATGGAGTGGTGCAGCAGCCCTAGTGCAGCCAGGCTGAGCAGCTGCTTGTATCCAGGATGGAGCTTTTGGGTTGCAGAGGGGTAATGGCTGCGGTGGGGCTGATTCAGGAGAAAGTTTCCTAACCCTGCTGCCTCCCTCCTGCAGGTGATGCTGGTGGGCGACTCGGGGGTCGGCAAGACCTGCCTGCTGGTGCGCTTCAAGGATGGCGCCTTCCTGGCGGGCAGCTTCATTTCCACCGTGGGGATTGACTTCAGGGTAAGTTGGGATGTGCCAGGTTGGTGTCTGTCTTCAGAACACCAAAATGCTGCTCCAGCCATGTGGAGCTCGGCATCCCGTACCCGTGCGTACCCCTGGGGCTGCGGGTGGAGGAGGCAGCTGATGGCTGCAGCAGCGTCTAATTATGGCTCTGCATAACAACGGGGAGTGAGTTCTCCCTCTGTGTGCCCTGGGGAGGGTTTGTGTACCACAACTGTTTGGCTCTGACCATCTGCCCAGTGAAAATATTTCCCTAAGCCAATGTCGTTGTTTTAAAAACTATGATAGAAAACAATAACAAAGTGACGCAACCCAACATCTCCTCGAGGCATCTCCAAAGCAAACCTTAGGGGCACTGTGCAGGAGCTCTGTGTCATTGATTGGGCTGCGCATCCTTAGCCCCATCCTACCCGGACTGAGGACGGTGGCCATTGCCCAGGCAGCATTTTCTAATGCTTTTGCCTTCGAGTACTCTGTTGGGAGCTGGTGACTGGCTCTCCCAGCTGTTGTTTGGTGGGGGTGTTGGATTGAATGGGGGACCTGGAAACAGGCAAGCAAAACTAGCATCCCCAAAGGGTGGTGGTGAGCCATGTCAATCTGGAAGCAGCAGTTGGAAGAAGAGTGGATGGACTGAGGTTTCAGGATGGATCCCATCCCCTAACTGCTCCCTGCAGCAGCTTGGGACATGTGGCACAGTGTGGGACAGTGGTGCTGTAGGTTCCTCTGTCAGCACCGTGGATGCCCCTGTGCTGCTTGTTCCATGGGTTGATGATGCAGAGTGGTGCCCTTGGCTGTGCTGTGCCCTCCCAGCTGCCTTTCTTCATTCAGAAGCTGCGCAGATGCTGTCCTGGGCACAGACAGAAGCTCTGGTGCCACTGTTCCTGCAGTTCTACCCCTTGCATGTGAGCCTGTCCTGCACTGCAGCTCTTGATGCAGAGTGAGGCCACGGGGGCCACAAATGTTGGTGGATTGAAGCCCATAGTGTTATACCAACATAATCACACCATATTTTGAGTGTTCTTAAAAGGAAAGCATTGTATTGCTGATCACAGTGATTGATACCAAGGGCAGTCTTACAACCTGTCACTTATTGATCAGAGTGCTGAAACAAATGCCACTGAGCAGCAATCAAATTAGGGTTAATTTACTCCTGTAATAGAACTGCTGGAGGTGCATGGGTCTGAAATGGGCGGATTATGCAGCGGGAGACATCAGGAGTGTGTCCTAAACCTCATTATTACCATCTCAGTAAGATGCTCATCATTTTTCAGGGACATGGAAGTAGTTCTGTGATTGTACATCTCCTCTGCCATTACGATAATCCTGTTTGCAGGCGCCGAGTAATTGTGCCCCTCTGCTGTTTGCATTACAATGCACAATTACAGAACTCCAGGCTGAGAGCACCAGAGGCTTCTGCTGCACAAGCACGTTTGGTGTTTAATTAGCATCCAGCTAATAGCGGAGCTGTCACGCTGCCCTTCCTTTGCCATCCCTGAATTCAAAGCCAGGTTTCTGGCTGAAGCCCTCAAGCCCATATGTGCCAAGGGGTGGCTCTGGACTTGGTATGGGCTCTGCTCTGCTCTGACCTCATCCAGTCCCTATGGGGCACCCAGAGCCCTCACCTGCATCCTTTGGGACTGCCTGGGCGAATGGCTGAAAGATGGTACTGCCTGAGCAAATGTAAATGAATAGAAATCCATATAAAATTAATCAGGCATTACAATTCTTAATGACCCCCTAGGTTTTTCCCTCCTACTGGTTTAAGTTACGGAGAGTCTCTCATGTTCTGTTGTTTGTAATTGTCTCCTAAACAAACACAAGGATGTTGATGTAAATACCAGTGTTTCCTTTTTCAAACAGACTGGGGAAATTGCAATGTTAGCATTAGGAAAAAACGCATCAGAGTGGAACCTTTACAGTTCAGAGATGCCCTTCAGCTTCCTATCCTGTAGTGATCCATTGATGGGATCTAGTGATGGGAGCATTTGGGAGTCAGAGCCAGGCTCCAGACACCTCCGTACATCCACACCTCTGCCTGTCATTGCCATTCTCCCCATCCCAGGGAGCACACCCATGTTAAACAAACACTTCTGACAGTGTCAGCTTTGGGCTCCCTGCCCTTGCTGGACAATAGGTACCCAGTTATTGCCTCCCACGAGCTATTGCTGCCAGGGCCGTGCTGAGCACTGGTCTACTTCTTCCCCCTGGGCATTGAGGTCCTGTGGGACATCTGGGTCCCCAAAGTTCCCATCCAGCATCTGTGCAGCTCGCCTCACCTGGAGCTCCCCAAAACTTTGTGCTTTAGGAGTTTCAGGCAGAAAGTTGCCCCGGAACAGAACCATGTTAGGAATCAGAGGGGTGAATCCCACCTTTCCTGGTGGGTCTGTAACATCTGCACTTTGGGAATGTGACAGAAGTGTGCACAGGAATGGGTGGCAGCTGACCTGGAGCGGTTCAAATGGGGCTGCCAGTGGAGCACAGCTGAATTCAGGGGTCTGTGCTAATTGGACCTGAAAGGAGAGAACATAAAAGAGAAAATTCAAGATGAGCCTTTTCTCCCTGGGAAGAGGCTCTAATGAGGTTCTTTGCGCTGAGCCGGGGAGATGCTTTTTGTGTCAGTCAGCCTTACAGACAGGTCTGCAGGGAGCAGCTCTGCCGCTCCTTCTCCCGACGCGTGCAGCGCGATCCCTGCGGGCGTGCAGATCTCGTGCTGCGGCCCCGCTCCGCCGCTGCATGGGCTGCCCCTGGCAGGGAACGTTTCCCGAAGCCCCGACCCAGCCCTGCTCGCAGGGACCGCTCTGCTCAGCCTTGGTAGCACTGCTGTTAATCTGCCCCCAGGAACAGCTCCCACGCTCGGTAAATAAAAGCTGTCACTGGTGGCCCTGAGCAGTGAGGGGCTGTGGTTACATCCTGTGCTGCTCCGGAGCTGCGATCAGTGATGTGTGATAGGATTTTTTTTTGCATAAGATATGAGTTGCATCTCTGTTTGCGGCTCTGTTTGTACGCTGTGCCAGACAGTGTTCCCATGCAGGGGCTGAGGGCTGTGCTCTGCCTGGCAGTGCTGTGAGCAGCAGCGTGGGGACAGGGAGATGTCCTCAGCTCACATCCCAAAAGGGCACTGCCCATATCACCTGGTGCTCGGTGCCCTGCTGGGGCTCGGAGGGAGCCTTACACTGGGTGCACCCCTCCGGTGGCTCTTCCTCTGCTTCATTTCTCGCTGCTGTATGGATGTTAATAAAAGCCAGTTGCTGATTTGCTACTTTTGCTTTGGTTGCTGTAAGGAGAGCTGGGATCCGTTCGCCCAGAGGAGCTTCCCACCCTGCTGCCAGCTTTCAGAGGGTTCTTGTGGTGCTGTTCAGGGACCCCACATTTATTTTATTGATTTATTTCATGTCCGATTCTTTGGATAGCAGCCATTGTGCAGCTGCTCCCTGCTCCCAGGACAGCCTCTCCAATAGTCGCTATTCCCAAACAGCCGAGCCCTGCTTTGCTTTCAGCTAGTGCTCCTTTCCCTTGCAGAGAGATGCAGCTTTGCAGTCTGCTCCCGATCACACGAAGGCAAAGCTGTCATTTGCATGCAGGGCTCAGTTGCCAAGAGATGCTGAGAGCAGAGCCTGGCGGGCTGCACCCTCTCCCTCCCAACTGCCGGTGTTTTATTCATGTCCCTTTGGCTCTCGCATTTGGAAAATAATAAACCTCAGTGTGCTCTGGTTCTGCAGCACGTCGGTGAGTTGTGAACGCCCGCGTACTGCTGGTAATCCCAGTGGGCAACAGCCTAAATTTCTGCCCTGGGGAAGGCAGAAAGAAATGAGACAATTGCATTCAAAGCAGAAAGTGCTCGAGTTGCTCTTTACGTGAGCCCCAGAGCCCAGGCAAGAAAACTCTCATGCAGTTTGCATGGTGATGTGAAGGTGATCTCTATGCACAAAGGGCTCTCTTATGATCCATAATGGATTTGGTACCTAACCCAGCTGTGAAGTCTTGCATCCATCCCAGCCAACAGTGAGAGCGCTGGGGCAGGGGGTGGATTTTGCAGGCATCGCTGCTCCCGGCTCATTGCTGTCCTGCAAGGAAGTGGCTCACAGCCCATAAAACATTGAAATAGGGCCAGAGCGAGTCTAAACGGTCTGAATATTTAATGGAATAAATTTGGCTTAATTTCACTTTCATCTTTCATTTGTGATAAAATATTGAATTCAAAGGTGCAGAACTGGGATTTTCTTTGAAAGCAGAGGGAAGTGGGGCCTTGTAGTCTGTCTGAGTGCTGGCTGCTGGGGGACGTCCCTCAGAGCTCCCCTGGGAACGGTGGGCGCTGACAGCAGCGGGGTCCTGGGTGCGGTGCTGCGGGTCCACGTGCACCCAGCACGGAGACAGCGTGGGCTGCCTCTCCTTGAGCTGTTGCTGACTCATTCGTTACCGCCGATTAATTATCTGCCCCCAGCAGGCTGCGGCACGTTTTGGAGTAAATGAGCCTTTGGGGCAGCGCGGCGCAGCGGAGCTCGGCGGGTGCTGGTGATATTGGCCATGCAGTCAGCAACCCAACACTTGGGGGAGTGCAGTGGGTGCTGCAGCAGTCGGGCTCCAGCAGTCATCCCCGTGTCTGGGCAGGGAATGGGTTTTGGCAATGTATGGCACTGGCAGAGCATCGTGTCCTGGCACTCATTGTGCTCCAGCACTGGGAACAGGCAGTGCCCACCAATGGTCATCTCCCTTCAGATGAAAATAGAAAACAAAAAACCTCCCCCCCTACCCCATTGGATAGTGGAAATATTTTTAATAAAGGATCCCATCTGAGTGCATGGGAGCTGTGTTTGTGGAGAGAAGGAGCTGTGCCTGAGCCATTGTCCATTCGTCCTTGGCAGGCAGTGGGGAGGGTACTGGTTACTATGGAAATGGGAAATGGGCAGATCGAGATCTTGTTTACCTGCAGAGCTCTGCCACAAGGAAACCAAACATTGAGCATGGTGCTGGTGGCTGCTGGGGACAAGGAGGATGGAGGA